TGAGCGGCACGAAGAGCTTCTTCCAGATGTTGAAGTCGTTGAGGGGGGAGGACGAGATGCCGCGGTCGTAGAGGGATGGGAAGTAGAGGGGCGGGGCTGGCCGCTTGCTCATCTTGGGGCTCGGGCAGCCGCGCCGCCCCTTCGGCATCGTTTGAATGGGGGCGGGGGGCTGAAGCCGGCGGGCCGCCACGTGGCCGGCTGGAGGGCCGCAGACCCTCCCTCGCTCCACGGGCCACGCCCCGGGACTCGCGGCCCCGCCCCCGGCCTGGACCCCCACCCCACGCGCGTCCTCGCCAGCCCCGCCAGCCCTCGCCAGCCCCGCCAGCCCCGCCAGCCCCGCCAGCCCCGCCAGCCCCGCCAGCCCCGCCAGCCCCGCCAGCCCTGGGCGCGTTGCTGGCCCCGCCCTCAAGGGGCTCGTCCGTCAGCCCACTAGCATGGGTAGTGGACCACATCTGGGACATACTAAGAAAGGCAAAAACCAGATGTCGGCCCTCAAAAAGGTCGCGTTCTAGTGGGAGAGACCGCAAGCAAACAGCTATGCACATGGGAGGTACGTCCAGCGTGCACTGAAGGTAATCAACATTGGAAGGCATTAGGGATAAGGAGTCCTCCACAAGGCTTGAAAGAGGACAGAAAAAGCCCGATATCATCCTGTCTGTCCATCCATCGAGGCCTCCTTCCCAGCTGCTTCATGTTGTACTTTGCAGATAAGGACTGTTGTGTTGGGTTCAGCACCCTACTTTTAAAAAGCTGGAAAACCTACACAAAGAACCTGGCTCAAACCGGCCTACTCGATGTTCACAATTAGGGATGCACCATCTCCCATCGCAGTGCCTGAGCTGAAGCTCGGGACGTTCCCCATTCTTCTTCAACCCAGCCCCACCCCCTTTAACACTCTAGCTTCCGGGAGAACAATGTATACTATGACAACATTATAGAGAAAAATAACTTTGAAAGCTTTAGAACAATAATCAAGACTGATTAATCAGGAGTCCATAAGACTGAAAATGAAACAGGACCCTAATGTCCTGCCAGAGAGATGATGTGAACTGTAGGTGCAGAGGAAAACCTATATTTCTGAGCATGATCCATGTGAGAATTTGTTTTGCTGGACTATTCTTATTTATGATGGTTTTATTTTTCAGGATGTTGTTTAGTGGGTAGGGGTAGTGGGAGGTACAGATCATAAATGCATGTAAAAAAATAAATATTTCAAAAATCTGTCCCTTCCATTCCCCCTCCCCCATCATTGAACAACAATAAGCTTCTCTGAAACAGATAATCCTATTTTGTCTCATAACATCAAATGCCAGAATTAAATTCAGAAGGGTGGGTGGCTAGGTAGTGAGTGACTCAAAAGCATCTGGAGACATGAGAGGAAGAATGCATGAATAACAATGCATTTATTAAATGCTTATTTGCCAACTCCTTCATTCGACCCTCCAGATACAAATACAAGCAAGCATGATGGGCCCCTGCCCTCATGAAGCTTACATTCTAATAGGGGAAGATATAACACATATAAAGCATACTGGCGAAGTAGGAGTGTTTTGCACAGGGAAGTCAGAAGGAATTATGTTTATAATTCATATGGCAAATGATTAAAATTTTCTTTCCAACAATTGTAGTGTTTATTTGAGTTCTGTTCTCAAAACTACGGTTAGCAAGTATTTATCAAGTGCTTACTATGATCGGACATAGTGCTTAGTACCTGCCCTCAAGAAGCTTATATTCTAATGGGCCAAATACATATGAAAATAACAGTAGATGGACAGCAATCTCTGAGGGGAACGTCCTAGTGGCTAAAAGGATAGGAAAAGGCTTCCTGCAGAAGGTGAGATTTCAGCTTAGTCTTGAAAGACTGCAAAGGAGGGAAACTGAAAGGTGGGTAGAGGTGGGGGATAGCATTCAGGCATGAAAGACAACCAGTGCAAAGGCAGGAGAGATCACCAGGTGCAAGGAACAGCAACTAGGCTGTTACTGCTGAAACAGAGAAGTAAAGTGTAAGAAGACTGGGAAGGTAAGGAAGGTGGGCAGGAATCAAATGCTTTAAGTGACAAACTTTATATTTAATCCTGAAGGTTCTAGGGACCCACTGGAATTTTTTTGAATAGGAGGGCAGCCTGATCAGCCCTGCCTTTTGGAAAATCCCTTTGGCAACTGAGCGTAGGATGGATTAAAGTGGGGAAAGATTTGAGGAGAAAAAAAAATTAGAAGGCTGTTGCAAGAGTCCAGGCAAGACGTGACACATGAACCAAGATCATGGTGATGTGAGTGGAGAGGAGGGAACATTTATGAGAAATGTTGGGGAAGGTACAAATAACAGGATTTAGCAATGGACTGGATATGTGGGGTGAGTGAGTGAGAAGTCAAGGATGACACTTTGGGAGCCTGGCTAACTGGAAGGATGGTGGTGCCCTTGATAATATTAGGAAAGTTGAGAAGAGGGGAAGGTTTGGGGGCAAAGATTAATGAATTCTGTTTTGGACAGTTGAGTTTGAGATGCCTTTGGGATATCCAGTTTGAAATGTCCAGTTGGTGGTGTGATACAGTTCTAAGAAGTGACAGGCATGCTGTGCCATAAAACAGAGATTTTGTTGTGATTGTCAGTCTTTTCCAAAGATAGTGGAATGGTTTGCCATTTCCTTCTCCAGCTCATTTTACAGATGAGGAAACTGAGGCAAACAGGGTGAAGTGTCTGAGGTCACATTTGAACTCAGATCTTCCTTACTCCAGACCTGACACTGTGTCACATAGCTGCCCATGAAACAGAGATCACCTATTGTAAGTATGCTACATAAGTCACTGAGGAAGAATGCAGTGGCCGATATCTCTGGACTGTACAGCAGGATTTTTTTTTTGTAAATAGTATTTTATTTTTTTCCAATTCCATGTAAAGATAATTTTTAACATTCTTTTTTTTTAATAAGATTTTGAGTTTCAAATTTTTTTTCTCCCTTCCATTCCTCCCAAAGACGGCAAGCAATTGGGTATAGGTTATACATGTGCCATCATTTTACAGCAGTTTTACCCGGAAAGGATAATAAGAGGGGCAGCTAGGTGGTGCAGTGGAAAGAGCACTGGCCCTGAATTCAGAAGTACCTGAGTTCAAATCTGACCTCAGACCAAATACTTGACACTTACTAGCTGTGTGACCCTGAGCAAGTCACTTAACCCCAATTGCCTTTAAAAAAAAAAGAATAAGAAGAAGAAGGATAATAAGAGTGGATAAATGCCGATATTGGAAGCTCTTAGAGCTGTGGATTTGGCCCTGTGCCTCCTTACCCTGCATAAGCATCGAAGTAAGCCATGTTACTAGTGCCCCCCATTCATGTCTACTAGTATGGTGTAAGAAGTTTTAAATAAAGTGTAAGATCAGATTGTTTTTCCTGGTCCACTTATCTGACTTGGAAGCATAACTGAACTTGCCAGAAGGAAATTCCAGAGAAGAGGGTGTAGGAATTATGGGGACACATAGCCAGCATATAGTAGCTATTCATTCAATTAAACCGTTCCATCCAGGTACTGGATTCAAGTATTTCATTCCACATAGTGTGCTAGACCCTGAGGTCACAAAAAATGAAGAATGAAACAACCCCTACTCGAAAAGACTTTTTCCCCTAGGTTTTAAAGTGACCAGGAGAGTGGTGGTGTAATTTTTTCAGAGATAAGGAAAGTCAAGAAGAGAAGCCAATTTCACAGGAAAAACGATGAGTTCTGTTTTTGATATCTTGAGGAGCTTGAGGTGCCCAGGGGAGAGTTAGAAATGCAAGTCTGGACAGCTCAAGAGAGAGGCTGTGGATAGAGAAGTAAAGCTGGAAATTGTCCACATAGAGGTGATGAGTGAAACCATCACAACAGATGAAATTACCCAGGAAGAAAGTGTCCAGAAAAGAGAGAAAAGAGAAAGGGCAAAGTCCTGGGGAGTACCCAGAGATGGAGAGAAGTCAAAAAAGGAGGCAGAAGCAGTGGTCAGAGATAGGAGGAGAACCAGAAGACTAGAGTGTTACACAAGCCAACAGAATCCATGGGATGAAGGGGGAGGAGGAGAGGGAAGTCAAGGAAGATGAAAACTCTGAAAAGGTCATGAATATCCAAGTAAGTGAAATAGGAGAGTTAGGAGAAAAGATAAAGAAAGTTTTCAGGTAATTTTTTAAATAACCTACAATACTCTTATGGATGGGTGAGCTCATTGATGAGGGAGCTCCCTCCAGAGATACAAGTCATTCCTTATCAATGCCTAACAGTCATTGGTGGCTCTTGTCCATCACAAAGGTTCCCCCAACATAATGGAGACCTTCATTGAGTTCTCTTGACCCTTCGCATATTTGGAGAACAGTGAAATTGACTAGTTGCCTGAGGTGAATGGGTTGTGAAAGATGGTGGGAGATAGATTAGGACCATCAGACTGGAGCAATCTTTGGATACCAAAGTAAGGAACAGTATTTGAGCTTTAATCTTGTAGGCTTCTGAACAGGGAAGTGATGTGATGAAAATGATTTCAGAAAATTAGTTTGGCTGCTGTACGTAGGATGGATGGGTTGGGGGAGAGGCTTGAAGACAAACAGATAATAGCTGACATGAATGTAAGGTTTGCAAAATATTGGTAAGTGATATAGGTAGAATTTGAATCCAGGTCTCTCCTGCTTCTCTGACCAGCTCTCTTTCTACTATGTTTGTACGGCAAAAGAGTAAACGGTAACAGCAATATTGTGAGATGATCAGCCGTGAATGACTTTGCTATTCTCAGCAATACAATCATCCAAGACCACTCTGAAGGACTTAGGATGAAAAATGCTATCCATCCCCAGACAAAGAAGCGATGGTGTCTGAATGCAGATTGAAGCATACTTTTTTTACTTTCTTTTTCTTGAGCTTTTTCTTTTGTCTATGTTTCCTTTCACAACATGATTATTATGGAAGTGTTTTGCATGACTATATACATATAACCTATATCGAATTGTTTGTCTTTTCAATGCGGTGGTGGGACGGGGAAGGGAGGAAGGGAGAGAATTTGGAATTCAAAGTTTTAAAAATGAATGTTAAAATTATTTTTACATGTAACTGGGGGGAAAAATAAAATACTAAACAAAAAAAGAGTAAATGACCTAAGAGATGTATTATTCCTGATTACTTAAAGAAATAATG